TGAAATATAGTTTGAAAAATATTTTCTTTTTTCTTTATATTTTTATATTGAAATTAAAAAGTAAAAAAAAAAACTTGAATTTATAAAGAGAGAACGGTTATACCAAGATGTGTTAATTTACAGGTGAAATCAATAAGGCAGCTTATTATTTTGTTTTATATTTTCTAACTGTCAAAGTTTATTTGCTTTTTCATTTGTTTGTTTTAAATTATTTTCATTAGAAACAAAAATTTTATAATGTGTGTTTTTTATAATCCGCCAACATTTTTATGCAAAAAATAGTAAAAAACTTTAAAACCGTGCATCCAGCTAATTACGGATGAAGTTGTTAGTACAAATACTATTCCGCAGGACTTTAAACCACAAGATGTCGATGTGCTTTACGTGAACGCTTGCCATCCCGTATCATATACACTTAACACCTACTCATTTCCAACGTTTAGTCCACAGTCTCTCCTCTGTAGTGTATCTGTTGTCTTCGGCAACAGCACCGAACTTATCAGGAATTATAGAATTGACCATGCATCAGTCTTTTAACCGACATTCTCTTTCCGCGAATTTGGGTTTAAACCACAGCCACCACGGGCACCCTGAAAGTACCTCTCCAATAACCGGGTCCCAAACTCTGCCTTGCGGGCTACCGGTTCCCATGGTAACAGATTGTGCGGTTCTCTGGTTCTACCTATATCAAATCATTCCAAGGAAAGGCCGATGATACATTTGATCATCATCAGTCCCGGCAGACTAGATGTTCTGGTAGCACTTCTTTTCCCCGGGATTGCAATAACACCAAGATGGGATCTTTCATCAAGGTAACATGCCCCCGAGGGATGCAAGTGCACAGATAGTTTTAATAAAAGTCAATGTGTACACGCAGAGATCGCGACACAGTCACGATCTCAAAATCACCAAAAGTATTGGAATCTCGCTAAAATATTGTTTTTAAAATATGAAATGTAGATTGCGGAATTCATTGCGCAATCAACCGTATCAGTAGATCTCCTATCTTTTGCAAGACATATGCATTTTATAACAATTATATCTGCATTTTATAATTTTCCTTTTAATATAAGGAAAAATTCAAATTGAATTGTTTTTTTTTTAGTTTTATTTTTGACATTTAGAAAATATTTTTACAAAAACAAAATACATGTTGTTTTTACTTAGTTGTATTTGTTGTAGAATTGGGACTACCTGTAAATGATTATACCATGGTTGTTTTTACTTAGTTGTATTTGTTGTAGAATTGGGACTACCTGTAAATGATTATACCATGGGTTATACCATTACTTTTTCTACTATATTTTATACAAAAAATCTAGAATTTTGTGTTTACTTTTATTTTATATTTGTATTCATTTTAATTTACATTTACATTTAAGTTTATTTTAAGAGATTTCCTCTTTAAAAATGTTCGGGAGCAAGAGCATTTTCACTATTACATTATTGTAAAAGCATGGTGCTTAAACACATTATTTCATTATTGCATTATATGCTTAAATTTACAATCATTAACATGTCATTTATATCACCGTCCGACACTCAAAATTAGACACGAACCTGATGATATACGTCTGAAACTATAAATTTAGTGGAGTTAAACAGCTTTTTTAGTTTTTCATTTCTTGATCCGGTGTCCTTTTTAAAGGAAAAAGTTTTAAAAAGTACATTTTTCAAAAAATATTTTAAAATACTTGTACTGATCAGACAATGCCAAATTTGATGTCAAAAGAACAAGAATAGTTGCAAAATTGTTTGTGTTATTTTTATTTTATTCCGTCAGGAACAAAATATGTATGCTACTTCTTTTGTGGTTAGCCAACCCAGCAAAAAAAAAGAACTCCCAAAGAAAGAAGTAGATTTCACTCTATGAAAATACTGAAAAAGTCCTGCAGAAGTGATGATTTTAACACAGGCTTGTCATAAGAGGCATGTCCTTTTTATTTGATTCCAAATTTACTACTTCTGATGTTATTCTCAAGAAGTAATTTTATGTTATTTTTTTAGAAGTTATTTGGAAGTAAAATTGTAGCATTATAGAGTACAATTAATTCGATTTAAATAATATAGGGAAATAGACACATTTAATACAAAAGCCCAAAAATATAATTTTTTAACTAATAAAATGGAAAAACAAAAAAATATATCTTCAGTATTGCAAAAATATAATTATTTTCACTTCTGCGGAAGTCATTAAACACCACTTCCACAGAAGGTAAAAAAATTCACTTAGTGCTACTTTTGAAGTGGTGATAAATGTTATTCTTTTGGAAGTACTTCATTTTATTTTTGCTGGGTAATTGCTGCTTATTTGTAATTATTTACTGCTTTCATTTCTGAATTTAAATGAATAGATAGTACAAAAACTATTAAAATTAGAATATATATTAATGAACTTACTAAATTAATTTCATAAAATTTTGTTTAGATATTTTGAATGTATTGAAGTTACGCTGTTAACGTGCTTCCCGAAAAAAGTTCTTTTTTCAAAACGTTCACGTTTATGTTTCCAACATTTAAGCTTCTTCCACTGTGATTTTTTTCAGAGCACATTCTCTAGATATACCTCAAACAAAGCGTAATTACAATGTCTACTTTTTCCCATTTAAAAGTACAGTTTATATTAGCAAAATTGACTCAGTTGTAAGCCGTCCTCTCAATATTGAAAAGTTGTAAAAATACTAGTTGGTTTCAATCAGTTTTTTCAGAAATTTTAACAACATGGAACCAGTCCTGACAAAAAAATTTGATGGACTTATTCTTTCAAGTCTTGTGAATAAAAATTCATCAGCATTTATTATTTAAGATATTAAACCAAAGATTTTTTAAAATCTAAAATTCATATTTTATTATGTCGAAATTCATCTCAGGCATAAAAAGCAAAGGCAATATTCATTTGCATACATTGTTCTATTGACTTTATATTATAAAACGCCGGGTACAAAAATCTAGTAAAATTATAATCACTTCCTTAGAAGCCACTAACTAGACACCTAGTGCTACTTTTAAAATGGTAATAAATGTTATTTATTGGAATTAATCCGTTTATTTTTTTTTATATAAAATAGACAGACGTACATACCTAAATTATATAAGTTTTTATTATAATTAAATAATTATTATTAATGCTTACATACATACGTACATACATACATACATGTACATAGTTTTTATTATAATTAAATATTCGTGATCGAGGTAGTACACTTGTATTTTTTGTATTTATTTGCATAGATATTTATTTTGGAACTTATAATAGGTAAATGACCATTTACTAATTCTTAATTCTGAACACATTTATTTATTTTTTTTTTATTTGATTAAAGTTTTTAGATACATAGTACACACATTTTTTATTAATATTTAAATTTACGTATAAAATATATTATATTATAACCCCTTATTCACAAACAACATTTTTATTTTATAATTTGTAAACTGTTTATAAAATAAAAATTTTGTTTGTGAATAAGGGGGTAAGTCTCTATATAAGTCTCTTTGTAAGTCTGTTTGTTTGTTCGTCAATCACGCCTAAACGGCTGAACTATATACATATATACCGATTTTCAAATTTGAAAAATAGTTAGATCTATATCTGGAGGGTGTCATAGGCCATATTGTTTTTCAAAACTTGGAGTAGAAGGGGACTAAAAGGGTGTAAAATGGGGGAATGGTCGGGGGTACTTTTGAGCGCAAATACTAATTATTGTCTATACTTAAGCGAAAATATTTTCTATAAATATGTATAAGTAAAGTGCCGTTGCGAAAGTTTGACCAGAAGGGGACCAAAAATAGGGCAAAGGGCGCAAAACGGGCAAAATTAGTAATTTTGTGCTTTAAGACTGATTATTTCTGTTGTAAGGCCAAAATGTTATAGACTATGATATTTATAGTCTCAGTAATATGTTTGTAAATTTTTAGTCAGTCCAATATACATATGTACAGTGAATCAACTAAGTTTTTTGCCTACTTTTTTTTAAGAGAATTTTGTTTTTTGTTCATAAATAAAATTCAAAAAAACAGGTAAAAAGTAATTTTATGTTTTCCAATTGAAAATAGAGATTGTGTAGAATGGGAAAACCAAGAAAAATATATTAAAATAAGAATTTTTGTGCATTTGTTGTTGCATTTTATTACTTTTCATCAGAATTTGCACGTCAATAAAGTATTTTGCATATTAAAATTTCCAATTAATTTCGTTGGGTTTTTCAAATTATTTTTTAATTGCTTTTTGGAATTTATTGTTTTATTGTTAAAAGGACACGTGTTAAGTATTTTTCAATTGTAATTTTCAAAAATCATATCCTTATTGTGTGAAACTGTGTAGTTATTTGCGTTAAAAATGTTTAAAGGGAAATAATGAGGCAATTCCAATATAAAAAATTAGTTTAGATTTTTAGAACAAGTATAAATCAATGAAATTCAATTATGAGATGTTTAATCAATCATTAAAAAATATAAAATATAGAAATTGATGAAATAACACAAAGAATTATTTAAACAAATGCACCGAGTTATCTTTCAAAATCTTTAACTGCCAAAGGAGAGCGACTTGTATCCAAGCAAAAACCATTGAAGTCCTCATTTATCTTCTCCAAAGTCCATATACGAACTTAAAAGAACACTATGTTTAAATTTAGACCTCTAAACAGACCTTAGGTTGCTTGGAAACAATATAAAGTGAATTATCGTGTGGTACGGGAAAATACTTAATTTAGATTTAAATTATGTTTAAATTTAGACCTCTAAACAGACCTTAGGTTGCTTGGAAACAATATAAAGTGAATTATCGTGTGGTACGGGAAAATACTTAATTTAGATATTTACAAATATAGGCGGTTCTCATCACCTAAGATCCACAAAAGCAATATTTTTCAGCTAATACATACACTTATATATAGTTAGTACCCAAATCAAGAATAACTATCCAAATCCAACTACGCCTACTGTATTTTATTCATAAAATAATGCATTCAAAATATGAGGTAGAATATCAAGATTCTAGCATGTAATAGTTCTCTAGTGGTATACGGTGATATCCCCATACTTAGAGTGGCTAGGATGGTACTTAGTGTTAGCTTTATTGAATAAGAATCAATATTATACAATTCTAAATGAAATTCACACAGTACTCCCCAAATAGATGGGGTTTCCGTAATGTAGTTTTTGTTTATCAATACAAAATGACCAAAAACCCAGATTATGTTTGTTATAATCTATAGATTTATACCCCACTAAAATTTTTTTCTAGGTCCAAATCCATTGATTTCCTAATATATCATGTATCCAATTCAAAATTACTTATTATTTTCGAAATTAAATCAAAGAAACGATAGATTTCATGTTAAGTCAAATATTGAAAAATTCTTATAGGTATATAGGATAATAAATCGGTTAAGAAATGTCCAAACTTAGTCGTTCCACTACTAAAATATCTAAAAAATGTTATTCTAATACATAGGAGTAATAAAAATATTAAATTTTATAAAATAATGCAGCAATATTAAAAAAATGAACAAAAAACCTAAAAAGCAAAATACTTTATTGACCTTAAATATTAACAATACGTTCACATTTTATCAAAAATCTCATTAATTAATATCACGATTTTACTTTTTATGGTAGAAAATTAAAATATAAGATATTCTTTAAAAAATACAACAAACAAATTGCTTTATTTTGCTAAAAATAATTGTTCAGATAAAGTTTTTTCTTAAAATTTATAAAATTTTACATAGGCAAATTACTTAATTGATTCACTGTATATGTATATCTGCAGTATCAAAAAGTCCACTTTTATAGATTTTCATACAGGTTCTTAGGTTCAATATTTCTAAATCAATATTATAGAAAATTCAAAAAGTACCTATTGAAGAACAAAAAGTACCAAAAATTTCCCTTTTATAGGTTCTCATTTACTTCGGGCTCTACATGCTTAATTTCATGTTTCTAGGTTTAATATTATAGAAAACACAAAAAGTACCAGTTAAAGAATGAAAAAGTACCAAAAAGACCCCATTCATGGGTTCATTTACTTTGGTCTCTACATGCCAAAATTCCATTTTATAGATTCTCATTTTCTCTGGGCTCTACATTCCTAATTTCATGTTTCTATGTTCAATATTACATTCTGGAGAAAGAAAAATACCAAAAAGTCCCATTTTATGGTTCTCACTTACTTGGGGCACTACATGCTTAATTTCATGTTCTTATGTTCAATATTATAGAAAATTCAAAAATTACCTTTTAAAGAACGAAAAAGTAGCAAAAGTCCTTTATACCGGAGTTCCAAGAAACATCCCATTGGTATATTTAGTGTTATTAAATCTATCAATTTCTCCAATTTTATCAAAATTGATTCAGTGAGTGTGAATAAAATCAAATTTCCCGTTTTTCCCCCTTTTGGTACTTTTTTCTCCCATTGAAGTAATAAACATTTTATTGTAAAAAGTTGCAATATCGTAGTGGGAGCTTATCCATTCACATGTTAATAGAAATCAGTACATAGGAAACACACTTTAATAGTCATCGTTGTTCACAGGTGTCTGGAACTTTTTTGAAATTTGGCTCTTTTAGGGAGTAAACGAGTAAAACTGTATTTTTCATCCATTCGTAACTAATCAAAAAAATAAAAATATATATCCAGAACTTTTTGGATATCCCAACTAAGGGGTGAAAATTGTACCTATTTTATTATTTTTTATAATATAATTTTCCGACCCGGATCCTTATAGATTGCAGAGTCGATTAAGCCATGTTCGCCCGTCTGTCTGTTGAAATCAATTTTCTAAAATCAACAAAATCGGTCCACAAATAACGGAGATATGAGCAAAAATCCGTACAAAGATGATAATTTTTCGCTTGCTGGTGCAAGAATACAACAGCAACGTTGTGTTTGTTTCTGAATACGTTGCGTTCGCTTGTTAAGGTCTGAAAACAAAAACAACGTTTATCAAATGTTTTTATACCCACCATCAAAAAAGATGGGGGGTATATTGATTTTGTCATTCCGTTTGTAACACATCGAAATATTGGTCATAGACCCACTTTTGTGGTCTGTCCGTCTGTCTGTCTGTTGAAAGCACGATAGAGTCCGAATGGAAAGAGCTAGAGGGTTGAAATTTCACATAAATATTTCTTATATGTAAGGTTTGTTTGGTATTGAAATGGGCAATATCGGTCCACGTTTTCGAATAGCCCCCATACAAAGCAGCTTTAACAGCCATAACTTGTTTAAAAATACGAATATAGCGATGAAATTCGACATAAGTATGTTTCTTATGATCCAAAATCACTATGCAAAATTTTATGAGGATCGGTCCATAATTGACCCTACCCCCATATAAGGTCCCCTTCAGAAAATGACTTTAACGCTCATTACTGGCTTAAAAATACTAGTATATAGATGAAATTCGACATAAGTAAGTTTCATACGAGTCAAAATCTATCTAAAAAATTTTATGAGGATCGGTCCATGATTGACCCTATCCCCCCATATAAGGTCCCCTTCAGAAAATGACTGCAACGCTCATTAATGGTTTAAAAATACGAGTGTAGCGATGAAATTCGACACAAAAAAATTTAATACGAACTAAATTCTGTCTACCAAATTTTATGAGGATCGACCCATAATTGACCCTACCCCCCTTTATAAGGTCCCCTTCAGAAAATTACTCTAACGCTTAAAACTGGCCTAAATATACGAGTATATAGATGAAATTCGACATAAGTAAGTTTCATTCGAGTCAAACGAGGTTTGATGGTGGGTATATAAGATTCGGCATAGCCGAATATAACACTCTTACTTGTTGTTGTTTAGTTTTTACTTTTTGTCACCAGGGGCGTTCTGTAATTTATGAATAAAATTGTTATAAAATGCGTATTTTTTGGAAAAATTAAAAAAAATTTATTGTTAGAAAAAAACTTCATAAAATATTGTTTCCTATTTATTGACATATCGCATACTTAATCCAAAATTCGGATTTTTTGAACCCAGTGCCTGTGTTCTGTAACTTGATCGAAAAGCTTTTGCATCGAGTAGGCATAAAAGAGCAGAGTTGTAAAAAATAGATATTTGAAATAAACATAGAAAATAATCAAATCAATTTCTTTGAGATGAAAAATATAAATAACTATTTTCAAAATATTTTACTCAAATAATACAAGTTTTTTAATGGTTCAAATGAATAACAATTTAAACAAAAGCAAAATGCTCCACGAAAATAAGGTTTGATACGGAATTTTCAGCTACATGAAAATTACCACTTAGTATATTATTAATAAGCGCTAAGCGAGATATTATACATATGTCTGTCAGAATAACCTACAACGCGTTCCCGCGTACAACTCGATGCTTTGCGATGCCTTGCGCTAACCTTCATTTAGATATATAAAATTTAGCAAATTGCTTATTTTTCCAACAAAATTTCCAAGAATATTTTGTATTTTACAAATACAAAAACGTATGTATTTGAAACGTTTTAAATTAAATATGAAATATTATTTGAGGAAAAAAGAATTTAATTCAAAATATAATACATATTTTTATTTTCATTTTAAATAAATTTATTTGAAATAAGTCACAACTCTGGAAAAGAGGCAACATGAATTACGTTTTTATTGGAAATTTCCAATAAAATACCTGTCAAAAACATAAAAATAAAAAGATAAAAACAAAAATTTGCCAAACAAATTTATAAACAAAGATTAAATAAACAAAAATATTGAAATTAAATTAAAAATATTTAAAACAATTATCCCACTGAATTGTCCCCTGGTAAATTCTAGGTTTATGCCCACGTACTTTTCCAGCTTTAGCTTCTGTATATTAGAAATTATTCCTATTTTCTAAAAATTAGTTAATAATATTAATTTTTATCTTAATTTATTATAAAAACAACATTATTTTTTTTTTTATTTCTTACAATACATGTTTAAATTAAACTTTTTTTCATAAAATTTTCCTTTCCGCACCGTTTTAAAATGTGAGTTTTTTTGACAGTTCATGTGAGAAACTTCTCAAAAAATTTTCTTACAGAAACACTTTTACTCACAAACTTCCAATATCCTACGTCAAAAAACTTAAATGATAGATAGTTCTCACAAAAATAAATTACAAAAACACTTGTATGGGAGAAATTATATTTTGTTTCAATTCACAGTGTTTTTTCTTCAATTTCACTGTTTGATGCGAGAAAATTCTCGATGCGAGAGTTACAGAACACAGGCACTGAAAACATAAAATTAAACATTCAACATCTTGAGTTAATGGGAATTTGTAGGATACCTGCACGAATGGAAAAAATTAATTCATATATCGCCTTAAAAACATTTACTGTACGACAAAACAAATATTTAACTCCCCCACAGAAAATTTTCAGAGTACTCGGAATTGTAACCAATGTTGTGTGCCTTACTTTGTGTAACTTATAATTTGATTTACTTGTATATAAAATCTGGATATGAAGTTTAAATTTTTAATAAATTTTTTTTGCATTACATCTTAATATACTTGTGATTAACATTATGAGAACAGAAAATTAAATTATAAAAAAATCAAGTGTGCTGTAATTTAATCAACAAAAGTTTTTTCATTTATTGAAAAATATTTTAAGACATATATGACAGTTATAAACAAACAATTAATTATTTAAATTTTAAAGAATCTTTAGAGAAGATTTTACTTCTAGTATAATGTTATTAGTAGAATAGCCAAAAAAATTACTTATATAAGTTTCATTGAAATAAAATCTTTGAAAACCTTGACCAATACACTACTCAAAAAACTTAAATCACTCTTAAGAAACCTTCATAAAACTACATTTTTTATTTCTAACAATTTGTGAAACGAAGACATAAAAAGATCGATAAAAAGCACAATTCATAAGTTCATAAGATAAAATTGTTCACCTCAGTAAATCTATAATACAATAATCTAATACATGCGTATCTCTACTTACTTATATATGAGTTTACGCTTGTATTTAATGTCATTGAACTACTAATATTAAACTAGTATC